GAGATAAACTAAGTTTGGCATCACGAACAATGTGTGACATAAACTAAGTTTGGCATCACGAACAATGTATGCCATAAAGTAAGTTTGGCATCACAAACAATATTAATGACATAAACTAAGTTTGGCATCAACAGAACAATGTGACATAAACTAAGTTTGGCATCATGAACAATGTGTGACATAAACTAAGTTTGGCATCATGAACAATGTGTGACATAAACTAAGTTTGGCATCATGAACAATGTGTGACATAAACTAAGTTTGGCATCACGAACAATGTGTGACATAAACTAAGTTTGGCATCACGAACAATGTGTGACATAAACTAAGTTTGGCATCACGAACAATATGTGTGACATAAACTAAGTTTGGCATCACGAACAATGTGTGACATAAACTAAGTTTGGCATCACGAACAATGTGTGCCATAAAGTAAGTTTGGCATCACAAACAATGTGTGCCATAAACTAAGTTTGGCATCACGAACAATGTGTGCCATAAACTAAGTTTGGCATCACGAACAATGTGTGACATAAACTAAGTTTGGCATCACGAACAATGTGTGCCATAAACTAAGTTTGGCATCACGAACAATGTGTGACATAAACTAAGTTTGGCATCATGAACAATGTATGCCATAAACTAAGTTTGGCATCATGAACAATGTGTGAGATAAACTAAGTTTGGCATCACGAACAATGTGTGACATAAACTAAGTTTGGCATCACGAACAATGTATGCCATAAAGTAAGTTTGGCATCACAAACAATGTGTGACATAAACTAAGTTTGGCATCACGAACAATGTGTGACATAAACTAAGTTTGGCATCATGAACAATGTGACATAAACTAAGTTTGGCATCATGAACAATGTGTGACATAAACTAAGTTTGGCATCATGAACAATGTGTGACATAAACTAAGTTTGGCATCACGAACAATGTGTGACATAAACTAAGTTTGGCATCACGAACAATGTGTGACATAAACTAAGTTTGGCATCACGAACAATGTGTGACATAAACTAAGTTTGGCATCACGAACAATGTGTGACATAAACTAAGTTTGGCATCACGAACAATGTGCCATAAACTAAGTTTGGCATCACAAACAATGTGTGCCATAAACTAAGTTTGGCATCACGAACAATGTGTGCCATAAACTAAGTTTGGCATCACGCGAACAATAATGACATAAACTAAGTTTGGCATCACGAACAATGTGTGCCATAAACTAAGTTTGGCATCACGAACAATGTGTGACATAAACTAAGTTTGGCATCACGAACAATGTGTGCCATAAACTAAGTTTGGCATCACGAACAATGTGTGACATAAACTAAGTTTGGCATCATGAACAATGTGTGACATAAACTAAGTTTGGCATCACGAACAATGTGTGACATAAACTAAGTTTGGCATCATGAACAATGTGTGAGATAAACTAAGTTTGGCATCATGAACAATGTATGACATAAACTAAGTTTGGCATCACGAACAATGTATGCCATAAACTAAGTTTGGCATCATGAACAATGTGTGAGATAAACTAAGTTTGGCATCATGAACAATGTATGACATAAACTAAGTTTGGCATCACGAACAATGTATGCCATAAACTAAGTTTGGCATCACAAACAATGTGTGACATAAACTAAGTTTGGCATCACGAACAATGTGTGCCATAAACTAAGTTTGGCATCACGAACAATGTGTGACATAAACTAAGTTTGGCATCATGAACAATGTGAGATAAACTAAGTTTGGCATCATGAACAATGTATGACATAAACTAAGTTTACGGCATCACGAACAATGTATGCCATAAACTAAGTTTGGCATCACAAACAATGTGTGACATAAACTAAGTTTGGCATCATCGAACAATGTGTGCCATAAACTAAGTTTGGCATCACGAACAATATGTGACATAAACTAAGTTTGGCATCACCGAACAATGTTGTGACATAAACTAAGTTTGGCATCACGAACAATGTGTGACATAAACTAAGTTTGGCATCATGAACAATGTGTGACATAAACTAAGTTTGGCATCACGAACAATGTATGCCATAAAGTAAGTTTGGCATCATGAACAATGTGTGAGATAAACTAAGTTTGGCATCATGAACAATGTATGACATAAACTAAGTTTGGCATCACGAACAATGTATGCCATAAACTAAGTTTGGCATCATGAACAATGTGTGAGATAAACTAAGTTTGGCATCACGAACAATGTGTGCCATAAACTAAGTTTGGCATCACGAACAATGTGTGACATAAACTAAGTTTGGCATCATGAACAATGTGTGAGATAAACTAAGTTTGGCATCATGAACAATGTATGACATAAACTAAGTTTGGCATCACGAACAATGTATGCCATAAACTAAGTTTGGCATCACAAACAATGTGTGACATAAACTAAGTTTGGCATCACGAACAATGTGTGCCATAAACTAAGTTTGGCATCACGAACAATGTGTGACATAAACTAAGTTTGGCATCACGAACAATGTGTGACATAAACTAAGTTTGGCATCACGAACAATGTGTGACATAAACTAAGTTTGGCATCATGAACAATGTGTGACATAAACTAAGTTTGGCATCACGAACAATGTATGCCATAAAGTAAGTTTGGCATCACAAACAATGTGTGACATAAACTAAGTTTGGCATCACGAACAATGTGTGACATAAACTAAGTTTGGCATCACGAACAATGTGTGACATAAACTAAGTTTGGCATCACGAACAATGTGTGACATAAACTAAGTTTGGCATCACGAACAATGTGTGACATAAACTAAGTTTGGCATCACGAACAATGTGTGCCATGAACTAAGTTTGGCATCACGCGAACAATGTGACATAAACTAAGTTTGGCATCACGAACAATGTGTGACATAAACTAAGTTTGGCATCACCGAACAATGTATTGACATAAACTAAGTTTGGCATCATGAACAATGTGTGACATAAACTAAGTTTGGCATCACGAACAATGTATGCCATAAAGTAAGTTTGGCATCATGAACAATGTGTGACATAAACTAAGTTTGGCATCACGAACAATGTGTGACATAAACTAAGTTTGGCATCACGAACAATGTGTGACATAAAAAACTAAGTTTGGCATCACGAACAATGTGTGACATAAACTAAGTTTGGCATCACGAACAATGTGTGACATAAACTAAGTTTGGCATCACGAACAATGTGTGACATAAACTAAGTTTGGCATCACGAACAATGTGTGCCATAAAGTAAGTTTGGCATCACAAACAATGTGTGCCATAAACTAAGTTTGGCATCACGAACAATGTGTGCCATAAACTAAGTTTGGCATCACGAACAATGTGTGACATAAACTAAGTTTGGCATCACGAACAATGTGTGACATAAACTAAGTTTGGCATCACGAACAATGTGTGAGATAAACTAAGTTTGACATCAGGAACAATGTGTGAGATAAACTAAGTTTGGCATCACGAACAATGTGTGACATAAACTAAGTTTGGCATCACAAACAATGTGTGACATAAACTAAGTTTGGCATCATGAACAATGTGTGACATAAACTAAGTTTGGCATCACGAACAATGTGTGACATAAACTAAGTTTGGCATCATGAACAATGTGTGACATAAACTAAGTTTGGCATCATGAACAATGTGTGACATAAACTAAGTTTGGCATCATGAACAATGTGTGTGACGTAAACTAAGTTTGACATCACGAACAATGTGTGAGATAAACTAAGTTTGAGATCACGAACAATGTGTGAGATAAACTAAGTTTGACATCACGAACAATGTGTGAGATAAACTAAGTTTGGCATCACGAACAATGTGTGACATAAACTAAGTTTGGCATCATGAACAATGTGTGACATAAACTAAGTTTGGCATCATGAACAATGTGTGACCTAAACTAAGTTTGGCATCACGAACAATGTGTGACATAAACTAAGTTTGGCATCATGAACAATGTGTGACATAAACTAAGTTTGGCATCACGAACAATGTGTGACCTAAACTAAGTTTGGCATCACGAACAATGTGTGACATAAACTAAGTTTGGCATCATCATAACAATGTGTGACATAAACTAAGTTTGGCATCACGAACAATGTGTGACATAAACTAAGTTTGACATCACGAAAAATGTGTGACATAAACTAAGTTTGGCATCACGAACAATGTGTGACATATACTAAGTTTGGCATCACGAACAATGTATGCCATAAAGTAAGTTTGGCATCACGAACAATGTGTGACATAAACTAAGTTTGGCATCACGAACAATGTGTGACATAAACTAAGTTTGGCATCACGAACAATGTGTGCCATAAACTAAGTTTGGCATCATGAACAATGTGTGACATAAACTAAGTTTGGCATCACGAACAATGTATGCCATAAAGTAAGTTTGGCATCACGAACAATGTGTGACATAAACTAAGTTTGGCATCACGAACAATGTGTGACATAAACTAAGTTTGGCATCACGAACAATGTGTGACATATACTAAGTTTGGCATCATGAACAATGTGTGACGTAAACTAAGTTTGGCATCATGAACAATGTATGCCCTCATACCTACAACAACACCTGATATATCTGTGACAACAAACTTCTCTCAGTAGAAGGCTGAAGGCCTTTTATTGAGCTTCCTTCACTAATTTGTATGACCTAATACAGGTATGTTGCAGTTCAGTCAGAGTAATAATAATGAATTTACACTTCTAATGCACCAATTCTATTGAGTGTTCAGATCTCTGCATAAGTCACAGCATCACAGAAACAGAAACTGCAATTTGAGCAGAAAGATATGTTTTTAGTTTCAGTTTGAAAACATCATTACTGTTTTTCTGGTTTGTTGCAGTGAGTCTCACAACACTGACACACATGATCTGTTTTCACAAGGTGTCGGCTACAATCAGAGCAAAACTGCCCGACAACAGTTTAGAGAATGTTCTGTCTGGTTTCAGTGCGATGCTACCAATGTTCCCACTGCAACAAGAGGTTTGCCACAGAACGGATACTGAGGGACCACATGCGGCACCATGGTGAGTAGCGGAGGAGTCACACAATTATCACGGAGTCAAGCGTATTTGATAAAAACACAAAATTGTGTATATTTACGTCAAGATTTTCCTAAAATTTAGAAGTATTTTAACGATTCACAGAGTTTGCACTGGCTTTACAAGTCATGAAAATACACGAGAGTAATACAAGATTATAATACCTTGCACGGACAGTGGGTGTTGATCAATCTCCATCACAAAGCAAAACCTTGTTAATGTAGCGATGTAGCTGAGAGTTACTTCATTCTGATGGTCGGTCCCACATTTGACCAACCTTGAGTGTATTCAACTTCTTAAGTGTTACATGTGTTTCTATAGTTCCTGACCCGTGAAGGTCCGGGTTACAATATTGGCCTTCAGTAACCCATGCTTGTCGTAAGAGGCGACTAATGGGATCGGTGGTCAGGCTCGCTGACTTGGTTGACACATGTCATCAGTTGCCAATTGCGCAAATCGATGCTCATGCTGTTGATCACTGGATTATCTGGTCCAGACTCGATTATTTACAGACCGCCGCATATAGCTGGAATATTGCTGAGTGTAGCGTAAAACTCACTCACTCACTCATTCTATAGTTCCTTACAATTATTGATTGGGCCTTGAATTTGATGGCTGATAACCTGTGCAGAATCTGTATGGTTTAATGATGTTTTAATGAACAATGGGGACCCGTCTCTGTCATTGGGCCGGTTGTCCCATGTTTTGTATTTCTTGTTGTTTGTGGTCGGCCTCCATGGTGTAGTGGTTAGAGTGTCCACCCGGAGAGCAGAAGGTCGCGGGTTCTATCCCTGGCTGCGTCATACCAAATGATGTTAAAATATGGTACTTGTTGGTTCCTGCCTGGCGCTCGGCTTTAATGGGTACAATAAGGACTGGTTGGCTCGGAGTCAGTTTAATGTGTCTGAGTGGGGTATCCATGCTTAACTGCGGCATGGTATCTCAGTGGGCTAGCACTATAAAACCAGCTTAAGTCTGGGCTAGTACAAGCAGCCATACATACACATACACACGCATGCACGTCGTCATATGAGCGAAATAGTCTTTAGTATGACGTTAAACCCCATTTCACCTCATCTCACCTTGTTGTTTGTGCCCACAGTGAACCACTACAAGTGCCCCTTCTGTGACATGACGTGTCCGGCACCATCGGGGCTGCGTACCCACATCCGCTACCGTCACACCATGGAGAAGCCATACAAGTGTGCCCACTGTGAACACTGGTAAGTCATCGTGGTTGGGGGGAACCTCTCTCAGAAGGCACCAGAGCCTGACGGTTCTGGCATCTTCTCGTCACCCTGATGACACATGTTAGCCCAGCGGATAAGTGATCAAATTGTGCACTTTGTGTTACAAGCATGAAACTTGGCATGATTGTAGCTTATACCATTCTAACTGAATAAAGATCGAGAGGCCTCGCAGATTTTTTATATTTTCAAGAATTTTGGGGAAAAAAGTGAAAATATATAATTTTTTATACTATTTTCGTCATAACCTTTTACTAAATTCTCCAATTCTCATAAGTCATATATCAAATTGTAGGAAATCCATAGCTGGTCATTTTCCATCTATACATGTCTTTTTTATCTTTAGCGGTTAGGTCTCACGGAAGTCAATTTATATCATGACTACCGAAAATGCGAAAATTGGTGGCCATTTTGAAAAATGGCCGCCAATTCGCCTATCATTTTGCAAAATGGCAGCCATATAGAGTACATCAGTAAAAATAAGTATGAGATCATCCCATGATCTAAAATATTTTATCATTTCTTTGCAAATTCAATACGAGAAGCCTCATAGATTGTTGTAATTTTTATATTTGAGGAGGAAAAGTGGGAAAAAATTGAATTTTCAAAAATGTTCCTTTAACTCAATTTTAAATCCTCATAAATTATGTATCTAGAATATTGTGAGAACAGACGAAAGTTTATTTTAAGGAATATATCATTAGATTTACTTACATTTATAATATATGAGCTTGGTTGGCTATAGAACACCTATAAAAACATATCAAAATCAACACAACATCAATGTCAAAGTAGCTATCTCATCACTCTATGGAATGTGTAATTGTATCTAGCTTGACTGAATGAGAAAAGTGCATAGCACTTGAGAGATGCTTTAACGCACTTGGACCGGTTTGAACATTTTATACACATTCATTTCAGCAATTCCCGGCAGCTCTTTCATGCCTTCGTGAGAGTTGTCGATAGTTACTAGTATGTTGGATCAAAGTTGATTCTGTTGGGGGGAATATTGTGCAGTGTTCTCCCCTTTGTGGCAAACAAATGTTTTCTTGCTCATTCACTTTCATGAGGCTGCTTGCACTGTCATACAGCAGTACAACAACACTCTCATGCTGATTAATTTTGTGCATTAGGATTTCAAGTGGTGGACAAGCGAGGGAAATAAAGGTGCCTGTAAGTTCAGGAAAAGTATTCCATGTATTCCGCGAAGCCTTCTTTTCAATTCCACCAAAGAATGACATACTGTCATGGCCTGTGAAGCTTAGAAACACTGAGAACGCTTGATGCAGCAATGGCCAACACAACCACATCTGTGTCAACAATACAGATGTAGAACTTCTTCCATGAAGACAAGATATACGCAGACGAGTCAAGGGATGGAAACCTGGATGAGTTTGTCAGACATGAAAATCAGTCTTGCTATCCAACTATATCTCATCAAGGTTCTCTACGTCCATGCGCAAAATCAGTTCTTCTCAATTGCTTTGAGGAAAATTTCACCACCAACTGACTCAACACCAAATGTTGACGTATCAATCCTTGATGGATCTGCAGTAATAAACATGCTAAAACCAGCAGCTCCAATAGCATTTGATGAATATGCTGATAATGTGTTCTTGAAGTACTTGCAGTCTCTTCTGGACACTAATCAGAGAGTAGATATTGTCTGGGACAAATACAAAACGGAAATCCAGTGTAAGAACAAAAAGAGGAAGTGGAAAAAGACGACGAGTGGAAGCCAGTTCTGAGGAACTGGCAAGAATTCCCGAGGTGTGATACCAGCAAGAAATATCTTTTTGCTTTCCTTGTACAGAAAATAGCCTTGATAGAATCAAACAAGTCATCAGCCCTATTGGCGAATATGTGGTGTCCAATCAACCAAAGACCTTTGGAATTGGCACCCTGTAACTATGAAGAGGTAAAAGATAAAAGAAAGTTGCTTCACTGATGCTTCACATAAAGGATGGAAGAAGTTTTACAGCCGTACTGTTGACACTGATGTGGTTGTGTTGGCCATAGCTGCAACAGGCATTCTCGATCTTGAAGAAGTATGGATGGGGTTTGGTACCGGAAAACTCTTCCGCTATATTGTAATTCATGAACTTGCATCAGGTCTGGGTCCTGAGAAAAGTAGATCCCTTCCAATGTTTCACAGCTTCACATTCTGTGACATTGTGTCATCCTTTCATATGAAAAGACCTCGTGGAATGCATGGATTGCTTTTCCTGAACTTACAGGCACCTCTATTTCCCTCACCTGTCCACCACTTGAAATCACTAATCACTAATCACTAATGCTGATTCATCAGCTTGGGAGATTTGTTGTACTGCTGTATGACAGAGCAAGCAACCTCATGAAAGTGAATGAAGCAAGAAAGCATTTGTTCACCACGATGGGGAGAACTTTGGACAATATTCGCCCAACAGAATCAGCTTTGATCCAACATATGATGCCGGATACATTGAAAAATGGAGTTGTCACTCCACTCCTGAAAAAGAAAGGTTTAGATCAAGAGCTTTTAAAAAATTATCGGCCAGTCACAAATTTACCATTCACCTCAAAATTGATTGAGCGTGTGGTCACAACAAGACTCAAGGAACACATGACCTTAAATGGGTGTTTCGAAGTCATGCAATCAGCATACCGGAATTTCCACTCCACGGAAACCGCACTCGTTAAAGTGCACAATGACATACTGAGGGCCGTAGACAAAGATGGTGCTGCAGTATTGGTTCTACTTGATTTGAGTAGTGCCTTCGATACTATCGACCATACTATTCTGATGCATACACTTGAGACCAGGATGGGTATTAGAGGAACTGCTCTTCAGTGGTTTGAGTCCTACCATAGCAGGTAGACATCAGTCGGTGATCATTGATGGTCACATCTCCAGTCCTAAGGATCTTGCTTATGGCGTGCCTCGGGGATCGGTTCTTGGACCTCTACTTTTCACTATTTATACTTCTCCTCTAGGTGATATCGTCAGATCCTTCAACCTTGGACTGCATTTATATGCTGGCGACACTCAAATTTACATATCATTCAAACCCTTACTTTCCTCATCAGCTGTGTCTTCATTTCTCACCATTGAAGAGTGTGTTAGCTGCATCAAAATCTGGATGTCGTCACACTACCTCAAACTGAATGATGATAAAACTGAACTCATAGTTTTCCACCCTAAAAGCGTCTCCAACCCAGTATCTCTCTTCCTAAATTCAGCATCGGTCAGTGTGAGATTCAGCCAAACCATGAGGTGCTGAAACTTGGGAGTTATTTTTGATTCTTCACTGTCCATGGAGCCACACATCAATAACATCTGTCGAAGGGCTTACTACCACATTATCAGAACATCGGCATGATTCGACGATACCTGGACGTCAAGACTACAGCATCTCTTGTTCAGGCATATGTAACATCTCGTCTTGACTACTGTAATGCGCTTCTTGCTGGCCTCCCAAACAATCTTATACACAAGCTTCAGAAGGTGCAGAATACTGCAGCCAGAGTGGTCTCTCTGTCAAAGAAATCGGACCACATTACTCCTGTTCTTCACTCACTTCATTGGCTTCCCGTCCACTACCGCATAAAATATAAAACTCTACTCCTTGTTTTTAAAAGTTTACATGGTCTAGCTCCTCAGTACCTCTGTGATCTGTTCCACCGTTATACTGCTGTATGCGTTCTCTCCGATCAAATGACCAGTGTCTTTGACAATTCCTGTGACTAGGACAAAAACATATGGTGACAGGTCACTTGAGATGGCTGGGCCTCATCTCTGGAACAATCTTCCATCTCACCTCAGAACACAACCAGATTTAGCTGTTTTTAAATCAAATCTGAAGACATGTCTCTTTGGTGAAGCATTTGAACTATATGTGATATCTTGACCATCTTAGAGCCTGAGCGCCTTTGAGCGGATTACGGATATTGGCGCTATATAAGTATTTGTATGTATGTATGTATGTATGTATATAAAGAGAGCTGTAAATCAGGGGAGTTATGTTTCAGGGCAATCCCTGATGAAATCACAGGAGTTACCAAGCCCTCTGTATAGGGTTGGCAATAACTCTAGGGGAGAGTTTGGACCTGTATGGACAACTCTTCTGTTGGCATGAAAGGGCTGCCAGGAATTGCTGAAATGCATGTGTATAAAATGTTCAAACTGGTCGTAGTGTTTAAAAGCAGCTCTTAAGTGCACTGCACTTTTCTGATCCAGTCAAGCTAGATACAATTACACATGATTGAGTAACCTTCCATAGATTAATGAGATAACTACTTTGACATTGATGTTGAAATGAAATATGTTTGCGTTTTCATAGGTGATCTATAGCCAATCAAGCTCATACATTATAAATGTAAGTAAATCTAATGATATATTCCTTAAAATAAACTTTCGTCTGTTCTCACAATATTCTAGATACATAATTTATGAGGATTTAAAATTGAGTTAAAGGAACATTTTTTGGAAAATTCAATTTTTTCCCCACTTTTTCACCCCAAATATTAAAAATAACATAAAATCTGTGAGGCTTCTCGCCATTGAATTTGCAAAGAAATGATAAAATATTTTTAGATCATGGGATGATCTCATACTTATTTTACTGATGTACTCTATATGGCGTGCCATTTTGCAAAATGGTGTGCGAAAATTAGTGCCATTTTTCAAAATGGCCACCAATTTTCGTGATTTTCGGTAGTCATGATATAAATTGACTTCCGTTAGACCTAACCGTTAAAGATAAAAAGACATGTATAGATGGAAAATGACCAGCTATGGATTTCCTACAATTTGATATATGACTTATGAGAATTGGAGAATTTAGTAAAAGGTTATGACGAAAATAGTATAAAAAATTATATATTTTCACTTTTTTCCCCAAAATTCTTGAAAATATAAAAAATCTGCGAGGCCTCTCGATCTTTATTCAGTTAGAATGGTATAAGCTACAATCATGCCAAGTTTCATGCTTGTAACACAAAGTGCACAATTCAGTGAAAAAAGTGCACTTATCCGCTGGGCTATGTCATCATATCGCAGTTGGGTAGATCAATGCACATGCTGTTGATCACTGGATTGTCCTGTCCAGAACCAACCTGGGTTGTTGGGGTAGCCACTCACTCACTCACTCACTCACTCACTCACTCACTCACTCACTCACTCACTCACTCACTCACTCACTCACTCACTCACTCACTCACTCACTCACTCACTCACGCACGCAAGCATCACCCACACTGATGGATGAAGAAGATAGGCTGGTTTCATCTCATTGTAAGAGATGTGTCTCTTACTCCTCACCTTAAGATGTGTGACGGTGGGGTAGCCTAGTGGTTAAACTGTTCTCTCGTCATGTCGAAGGCCCAGATTTGTTTCCCCACATGGGTACAATGTGTGAAGGACATTTCTGGTGTCCCCCACTGTGATATTGCTGGAATATTGCTAAAAGCGGCATAAAACCATTCTGTCTCACTCACCCCATAAGATGCTTCAGGGGGTGAAATATGCATTCCAGTTATCTCCCTTGTTCTGGCACAAATCTGTTGTATTCAGTTACCAAGACGTGTTCAAATATAATCTGCCTGACATTGTTCCAGTGCCAAGAGTGGTGCGGACCTGCGGCGCCACCTGGAGAGTCACAGCAAGGACTGCCTGTTCCAGTGCCACATTGACAAGTGTCGGTACAAGGCCCGCTCGTACACCAGTCTCACCAACCACTACAAGAAGGAGCACCAGGTACCCACCAGCATCCCTACATCTCTCTGGCGATAACCCATAGAACTGATCTTCAGTAGCCCGTGCTTGTCATAAGAGGCCACTAACCAGTGTATGAAATAAGCCCAAAACCCAGCCGGACATCTGGGCTGGTAACTTCATACCAGCCCAGAGCTCTTCCTGAAATACTAAATGGACAGTGCCAATGGACCAGATTCGAATATTATTTTTCAGACCATCGGGCTGGCTAGCTGTAAAATTAAACCGTCCGGCAGAATTCTAAAGTTAATCGGCGATTATTTCATACACTGCCACTAACGGGATCAGTTCCCAGTCGTAGATCGATCCCACCTCTTGATCAATGATTTGCCTGTCCAGATTCGATTATTTACACTGATTAAGAATTAAATTTAATAATCGATTTTTGCAACCTTGTCCCATCCGGATCAATGATTGATTGTACAATCGGTGAACATTAAGAATTTTATTTTTAAACCTCTTTACAACATTTGCAAAACTCTTTACAACACTGCAATACTGTATATTTGTCATTTTTTTTAATTATGTGATAATAGTTAGCATTAAATGAAATATGTCAGCTTTTATGGTTGGTTTCTGTGAAAAACGTGACTTGAGGGTGCATCTACAAGAACTAAAATCTCCTGAATATAATATTTTTCATAAGTTTTAATTGTCATTTGAGGCAAGATTGTACAAAATCACAAACAACCCAAGTCTACGTTGATCAACAAAAACATGTGTACCAAAACAAATACTGACAGACTACCAAGATATAGAAAAGATGACTGTTCAATTCACTCTTTTGCAGATTTTACAACATCACAACAAATCCTCACAATTTTTCAAAATTTTGACCCACGTTTTACACTAATGTACCGTATATTACCTTCGATAAGCTGAACCCAACCCCCATTAAGCCAACCCCCTTCTACAGACTGATATTTTGGTCTTCAAAATTTGACTTATCTATGGTAATACAATGCATCATATTAGTTGATGCCTTTGTATTGTGAACAGTTTGGTTTATCTTTACATGTGCTTTAAAAATCGATACATAAGCAATCTTATTTGTTCTGAATATCTCCCAGATACTCGACACAGCTCGCTACTTCTGCCACGTGTGTGAGAAGAGGTTCACACGAGGCAACCAGCTAACCAAGCACCTCAAGAAACAACACAAGTTCAAATGGCCTCCTGGACACTCTCGATTCAGGTAACAGGCTTTGTGTTAGGGTCTGTCAAAGATACACCAGATTCAGGTACCAGGCTTTGTGTTAAGGTCTGTTATGGAGAGAGGACACACCAGATTCAGGTAACAGGCTTTGTGTTAGGGTCTGTTATGGAGAGATGACACACCAGATTCAGGTAACAGGCTTTGTGTTAGGGTCTGTCAAGACACACCAGATTCAGGTAACAGGCTTTGTGTTAGGGTCTGTCATGGAGAGAGGACACACCAGATTCAGGTAACAGGCTTTGTGTTAGGGTCTGTTATGGAGAGAAAACACACCAGATTCAGGTAACAGGCTTTGTGTTAGGGTCTGTCAAAGACACACCAGATTCAGGTAACAGGCTTTGTGTTAGGGTCTGTTATGGAGAGAGGACACACCAGATTCAGGTAACAGGCTTTGTATTAGTGTCTGTTGTGAAGAGAGGACACACCAGATTCAGGTAACAGGCTTTGTGTTAGGGTCTGCCAAAGACACACCAGATTCAGGTACCAGGCTTAGTGTTAGGGTCTGTTATGGAGAGAGGACACACCAGATTCAGGTACCAGGCTTTGTGTTAGGGTCTGTCAAAGACACACCAGATTCAGGTACCAGGCTTTGTGTTAGGGTCTGTTATGGAGAGAGGACACACCAGATTCAGGTACCAGGCTTTGTTCAGTTAGGCTTTGTGTTAGGGTCTGTCAAGGAGTGAGGACACACCAGATTCAGGTAACAGGCTTTGTTAGGGTCTGTCAAAGACACACCAGATTCAGGTACCAGGCTTTGTGTTAGGGTCTGTTATGGAGAGAGGACACACCAGATTCAGGTAACAGGCTTTGTGTTAGGGTCTGTTATGGAGAGAAGACACACCTGATTTATGCATGGTCCTTTTTGGCTCCTCATTTCATTGGAAAAGGGCTCAAAACTCAGACACCAGAGAGACAACTATCTATAGTCCATCTGGTTTGCAGGCTATTCTCTTTATGCTATTGTGTATTTAACATGGTGAATCTGTCTCTAACTGGATGCTTCCTTAATGCTTTTAGGTATAAAGTCCACGAGGATGGCACACTGCGACTCCAAACCATACGATATGAGAGCATTGAGGTTTCAGACGAGATAATGGACAGCGAATCTATGCAAGATGATTCTCACGAAGTCTGAGTCCTCCAAGAAGGAAGCGTCTGAGAGTGAGGACATCACTGATCCACCCACGCCCAAGTTGTTGTTTCGCAATGTAGCCTCCTATGCTGGAGGACATAGTGCAGCCAACATGAACCAGCACACGCCTCACAGTCAACAGAGTACCCTGCTTTCTATGCCAGACTTTCCACCTCAGCAGAAGGGCCAAGGTACCCAGGCTTCAGACGTATCTATGTCAGACTTTTCTGGCATGGATAGCCACATGGACGACATCCATCATAGTGAAGGGCTGCAGGCTACAAGCTCAAGTGCTTTCCAAGGATCCAGTTCAGCATCTTTCCAAGGATCCAGTGCAGGTACTTTCCAAGGATCCAGTGCAGGTACTTTCCAAGGATCCAGTGCAGGTACTTTCCAAGGATCCAGTTCAGATGCTTTTCAAGGATCCAGTTCAGCATCTTTCCATGGCTCAAGTTCAAGAGGTTTCCATGGACCAAACCAAAGTCCATTCCAAGGGTCTTGTTCAGGTGGTTTCCAAAGAACAGGTTCTGCTACGTTTCAGACTTCAACTTCTGCAGGATCAGTTTCAGGTGCTTCTCAAAGTTCTGATGCTTCTCATGCCAGACACCATGAAACTCAGCAGGGCAATCAGGATGAGGCCGGCAAAGAACAATCAAGTCAAGTCCAGTCCAGTTCCTCCATCAACATCACCTTCATCAGCAACCCTTGTCAAGGGGAGAGCCAGGTGCAGGTTCTCACCATGGACGAAGATGGAATCCTGGTGTACAGGAAGCCAGAGCAAGACTGGTCACAGAGCCACAGTAGGAGTCCAGAAGATGGCGTGAGTCCAACCGCAGCCCAGCAAAAAGTAACTAACGTCCAGCCTCCAGTTCCGCAGGACAACACAGCTTATAATCTCCAGATGCTTGGAGATGTTGCTCTGCTCGGACAGAATCTTTCCCGAGCCCAGTCCAGTTCTGTGTTCGGTGACAATGGAAAAGTGATGCAAAATCTTTGATGCTTCCAACAAGATCTGTTGTATGAGACGATTAATTGATCAGATGATATGTGGTTGATTGTGTGTCATCTTGCCCTGAAGGCAAAGACATTTGCTTCTTGTCATTGAGAACTGCCATCTGTACACATTACCTCAAACTGTTTATGTTGAAACATCAGATTTTGCTATAGTGTTTTAGTATGTATACAAATGTATTTCAAAGACAGTTGGATGTAAGATGTTTTACAGGTCTTGGGATAGTTGTGCAGGTTGAGATATTGTTATCTGGACTTCAGTCATGCTAGTTTTGTGTTGATGAAGGAAGCCCAGTCGTCTGAGGGGCCACTGTTTGCTGTGCAGAGTTACTTCCCTTGGACACATCAGGAACCAATGATTTAATAATCCCTGTTTGCCCCAGTTAACTTTCTTGGTATTTGTCAGCACCGTACCTTTGCTTAAGGGTTTCACATACGTGGTAAAGATCTGACACCTGTGCCCACTTACAAAAAGCGATTTTAGCGCTAAAGTGATCATAACTCCCATATTCTAACTTAGACATAAGATGGTATTAGCACTACAATGATTGTAACTCCCATATTCTAACATAGACATAAAAAGGTCTTCACGGTACGATGATCGCAACTCTCATATTCTAACATAGACATCAGATAGTCTTCACGCTAAAATGATCGTAACTCCCATACTCTAACATAGACGTAAGATGGTATTAGCCCTATGATGATCGTAACTTACCTATTCTAACTTAGACATAAGATGGTATTAGCCCTACGATGATCGTAACTCCCCTATTCTAACTTAGACATAAGATGGTATTAGCCCTACGATGATCGTAACTCCCCTATTCTAACATAGACATAAGATGGTCTTAGTGATATGATGATCGTAATTCCCATATTCTAACATAGACATAAGATGGTCTTAGTGATATGATGATCGTAACTCCCATATTCTAACATAGACATAAGATGGTATTAGTGCTACAATCCTAACTCCCATATTCTAACATAGACATAAGATGGTCTTAGTGATATGATGATCGTAACTCCCATATTCTAACATAGACATAAGATGGTCTTAGCGCTAAGATGGGCAGTGCATCACTTGGGCTCACCTCCCAGATCCAACTGATGCTCCATAACCTATGATGATTGCTAAAAGCAGCGTAAACCAAACTCAGTCAGTCAGTCCATTACCTATGATAGGATTTTATGTTTCAAGTTTTGAAGCAGATAATGTTGACAACACTTACTGAAGGATTCAGCACCAATATGCTCTCTTTTGTTTTTCTCATGACATTTTTCTCTGCCCAAGTAGGGAGGATTTTATGTTGAGGACAATTGACAGATAGTTTTCAAGTCAGCATAAGCGTCAAGGTAGCAATATATTGGTAATTTCATTGAAAATACAGCCGGAAGGTTAAAATAAATATAATTAAATACAACAGAAATATGGAAATTTTATGCAGTACATCTAAATGTAAACTTAGGTTCAGTATTATTCGTTACACTGCTATGCTGAGTCTAAGTAAACTTACGTTCAGTATTATTCGTTACACTGCTATACTGAGTCTAAGTAAACTTAGGTTCTTTATTATTCGTTACACTGCTATACTGAGTCTAACAAAACCTTGTGGAAGGTCGCGACAGATAACCTTTTCAACTGACCAATCAGAACACAGCTTACCAAATCGCAAAAGTTGACATTCGCCCATACCTTTTGAACTTTTACCTCCAAAAAAGTTTGTACCGAACGATTCTGAATGCTATTTTCTGTACGATTGTTTCTAGTCTGGTAGGATGGGTACAGCATTCAAGTCCCGTGGAAGTTTTGTGATGAAAGCAAGACATTGTGTTTTTTGTATTCATCAGACATGCTAGTTAAATGAAAAGTTTGGTTCCAAGTTGAAATATGGTGCAAATAGTACTTTTGAGCACTGTACAGAATGGTTGTGGAAAAGGTTGCTAAAAGGTCAGAACGTCATAATGGGAGAGTTGAATATTTAAAGTTTGAGGTTATTAACTTTATCCAAGTGTGTTTCTCTACTTCATGAAATATTTTATTAAAAGAAAACCCCAAAATATATTTATTAAATTAAAAAATATATATATAATGAACACTCCCTCTCTAAAAATGGCAGCTAGCAGACGAATTTAAGCAGATGTAGGTTTTTGTGCACTCAAGCCTAGATGCGGTTGACACAGACTCACCAACAACAACGGTTTGAGTCCTGTCCTGTAGATAAGATGCCAGCTAGGATAAAGCTGAATCCAAGTTCTGTATCAAGTTTTTTGAGGAGTCTCTGGTAATCAATCGTGTCAAAGGCACTGCTAAGGCCAAGTAATGTGAGCAGGGCCACTTGTCCCGTGTCCATACCACATCGTTAGTCATTCAGGATCTTCATCAGATCCGCCTCTGTGCTGTGGTGTGCTCTGCAGGCTGATAGGAACACCTCAGAGGCTATGCCAGGAAAGGTGGCCCATGAGACGACTGGAGACTGCACGCTCAATGAGCTTGGGATATAAATGCTAAGTTTGAAACAGGCCTGTAGTTTTGGATCCTCCTAATCAAGGCTTGATTTCTTCCAGATGTGGCCTAACTAGAGCTGACTTAAGTACACTTGGGACATAACCAGAAGAAGTAGAAGAGTTAATAATCAGCACTAATGTTGGTAAATATCAGTGAAACTATCTATATGAGTAAGGGCGCGCAGCTATCAAACATTTTGGAGGAATATCAGCTTCACCCAAAGCCGCAGAAGATGAAATCTTGTCATAAATGTTCTTGGATCCTTTTGTAGAAATAATCCGAAAATGTCTGTGCTATTACTTCATTGTCATCAGAAGTCGGAAGTGTCGATTCAAAGTGTTTACTCAAGATACTGAAGAAAAAAGTTTGAACAGCAACTTTGGACTTGACTCGTTGGCTTCAAATCTTAGAATTGAAATGTTAATTTGTCTGATGACCGCTGTTGAGTGATTTTGGCTGAAATATACATTTGGCGATGAATCTCCAGGAAAGATTGTTTTCCATCTGGCGCTCTGCTTTCGCCTTGTCCTTTTTGCTTGTCGAACTTCAGCTGTGAAGTCCCAAGCAGATGTTTTAGTGACTGGTATGACTTCACTGGTGTATGTTTGTTCATATAGCATGCGATAGAACTCTATTGTATAGCAGAACGAGACTCTCAGCATCAGATGGTGGCTCAAGTATAAGGTCTGAGTTTAGCAAATTGTCTTTAAAAGTATCCAGGGAGCGATGTTCTCAATAACGAAAATCTTCACATTTGGACTGGGTATTGAGAGGTCCAAGCTCACAAAGATATGGAATGATCAGAGAGTTGTAGATCCTATACAGATACACAACTGACAAACGCTGCCTGAAGCACGGGTAACTATCCAGTCCAGAGTGTGTCCACCTATGTGGCTTTGCCTCTGACGCAGTTGTACACAGTTGTGGACTTCAAGAAGATTAAGCATTTGTTTAGTGTCATGGTTATCGCTTGTCAAAATGGAAATTGAAGTCGCCTACAATGATAAGAGCTTCTTCGGCCAACTTATCCAGTCTGTGCCGAGATGGTGCCGAAAGCAGTAATTGCTGCCAATGGTGGCCAAACAAAGAACTGACTTTGACGCCATCTTGTGGACTCAAGTAAACAGAAACACAACAGTAAAGGCTTTGTCTATAGATATTTGAATTTTCACCTTTTACCATTGGGATTACATGGAAATAATTGTTCTTTAAACTAATGCAAGAAATTCTTCTAAAAAATTGCTTGTGCGTTTCTTTTTTTGAAGAGTATATTTCTGGGTCGCAGTTTCATGTAAAGACCTCTTCTATAGTTGATAAACAGGCTAAAAAGTATATTCCTTTCTCATATTGTACAAGTTCTATACAAAATATGTGCCTTGTGGAGAAATGGGGGTTTTATTCATCATTATAACTTTTAGAGCTAAAAATAGCTCGTATTATGTAAATTTATTACTAAAATCGAACTAAAAACATCAGGTGACTTACAGCATAAGAGAAATATATTCCGTAACCAAATATGCATGGTTTTTGATATTAAAACCATTGATTTGTTCCGAGTTTTTGCAACGTTTTCAGTTCCCAGTTAAATTTTCGTGGCCATCTTGGATTTTGAGCTAAAATTAGCTTTCTCGATCAATATTCAAATTGGAACCAAACATTTTTTAAACTCCTTTAACTCAAGCATGTCAGCTTGCTGAAATATTAGAAAATCACCTCACCGCATGGGTACAATGTGTGAAGCCCATTTCTGGTGTCCCCCCGCCGTGATGTTGTCTGGAATATTGCTAAAAGCGGCGTAAAACCATACTCAGTCAGTCGGTCTACAAGGGTTTGTTAGACTCAGTATAACAGTGTAACAAATAATACTGAGTTTACTTAGGCTGTGCTTCTGTACACTCTACCAGCTTTTGTGGGATATGATTTTTCTGGCTAATACATCCCTAATGCATGTTCTTACTATCAAACAAGGATAAGTTGGACCGGCGCAGAGAACGTGTTTACGAGAAGTAGGCGGTGCACAGCAATGAGCAAACCCATTTGGTTTGTTAAAGGTAGGGAAGATGTAGGCTAGTGCATGTGCATTGCATGACGATGAAATTGACTCGCGTAGCTGCACACGCCTTGCGCCTTTCTTCACTCGTCGCTCTACACTTGATCGCGGACAACCTGGGAACCCTTCGCTAACAATGGCAGGCGCCAATGGATGGCAATCATACATGCTATTACGGGTCAATTGTCAGGTCGGTGCTCAACTTATCCTTGTTTGCCAGTAGAATTAAATCATGAATACAAAATGTGCTTTGCAGAAAGTTTGCCAGCGGAGTTCATTTACAGTTAAAACAATAAAGTGAGACTGGCTACGTCTGTGTGTGAAGTTTCAAAAGTGCATAAATGTGTTTCTATTGAATTGGGACTCTACCTGCAAAATGTTCGTAGTATTACGCCATTCGTAAGCCCATGATAAAGTATCATAG